GCTGTTAGCTGATATATTAATGTACATAATCTCATATATAACCTTTAACAACAATCTAATCTATTGATTCCCTGTGTGTTCCTGCAGGGAATGACTCCTCTGATGTACGCCGCAGCAGCAGGAGACGAAGCTCTGGTGCAGATGCTCGTAGACGCCGGAGCTCACCTGGACCTGCAGGTAAAAACACAACTGCTGACTCAGCGTAATCATAGCTGGTTTGTGTTTTTGAGATGACTGAGTGTGTGTGTGTTGTTCAGGTCCCAGGCTGCTCTAGCAAACACCCGTCGGTTCACCCCGGCAGTCGGCGCTGGGTGGCTTTGACGTTCGCCGTGCTGCACAGTCATCTGTCTGTGGCTCAGGTGAGGGCTTAACAGGGTCCACTTAAGTGTTTATGGGATGATAATAAACTAGTTTGACCTGGTTTCAGCAGCACCGGTATTTCTTTTTTAAATAAAGTCTATAATGCAACTCAACCACAGTTTAACCTCCACTGTTGTAGAAGTGAACTCCAGGTGTGTCGGTACACTGTGATGTCACTGTTGGGCGTGGTCACAGACGTTAAACCAGAGCAGGTGTGAAGTTACTAACCGTGTCGTCTTCCCGTGCCGACAGCTGCTGTTGGAGGCCGGAGCGGACGTGGAGGGAGGAGCCCTGCTGGACGGGCAGGAGAGCTCCGCCGAGACGCCGCTGCAGCTCGCCGCCGCTGCAGGTAACAGTGACGAGATTACTAATTAATCAGGAACTTAATCCAAGTATAATTACTTTCTGTTACTTTTGGATTACCTCAACACCAAATATGTAAATAAAGACCAGAGAAAAGGAATCTTAAGTGTATTCTATAAAACAACAAAACAGTGTGACCTTAGAAAAGCAAATGGAAACGGAAACTATTTAAAATGGAAAATGTTTAGCATTAAAAATTTTGCATTAAAGATTTTTAGCATTAAAAAATGTATTTTAAAATTGGAATCCGGCTATATGTACCCGAAGGACAACATTTAAGATTGATTTGCATTAGTAAACAGTGCAGGCACATGTTCAGGTAGATGATCTTTCTCTCCAACTCAATGTTTCTCCTTCCAGGTTACTACGAGATGGTGAGCTTGCTGCTCGCTCATGGAGCCGACCCTCTGCTCAGAGTGCATCATGGGAACTCACTGACGTCGCCGCTGTATGAGGACATGAACTGCTTCAGTTACGCTGCAGCACACGGACACAGGTGAGACATTTATCAAAGTGTTTCACATAAAACAAACAATAAAAGCAAAGATAAGGGCAGATTATAAACAGAGGAGATAAAGAAACAAATTAGGTATTGATCCTTACATAAATTCAGCACAGTGAAGAAGTGATATACAAACTCTCTCTTCTCTGTTCATATTTGTTCTTATTTTGTTAATATCTATTGATTTCTGTGATTCACAAATGTTTCAAATTTGAGGAACATTTAAAAAAATATGAATATCATATAATCAGATTAGATTATATCAGAGTTCCCACTCACCCTTGAAAACCTGGAAATTCAGAGACTAGTTTTTCAGTCATGTAAACACCTGGAAATTGATTAAAATGACCAAATATCCTGGACATTATCTGTGTTGTTGGGGATTTTGTGGTATTGTATCGCCTCACTCAACCTATTTTATTTTATTTGAACTGTTAATTATGGACTGTGGAGAAATTATTGTATTCAGTTCCTATTTCTGTGGAGATTTCCTTGCCTTTCTTATTTCACTGCTGTAATAATAGTCATATGATATTATTCAGTGAATGCAGGTGCACACCTAAAAATCCCAGAATCCCACAGGTGAATTCCCAGAAAATATATCAGTACTTGGTATTCAACCCGAACACGTGTGATCTCACCCGTCCTCTCTCCTCCTGCAGGAACGTCCTGAGGAGGCTGCTGCTGCAACCTCAGCACAGGAAGGAGGACATCCTTTCTCTGGAGGAGATCCTGGCTGAAGGAGTGGAGGAGGAGGAGGAGGAGGAGGAGGAGGAGGCAAAAACTGCAGACTCCCCGAGCCCTGTTCCCAGACTGTGTAAGGCCAGGATGAAAGCCCTGCAGCAGGCCGCCTACTACAGCGCCGAGCATGGTTACCTGGACGTTACCATGGAGCTAAGAGAGATAGGTGAGCTCAAACTCTCTTCTGTTACCTGTGTGTGTGTGTGTGTGTGAGTGTGTGTGTATTATTTGTACTTTTATTGATATTAAATTATATACAGTACAGACCTTTACAGATTCTTTTAAAAGTGAAACACCACTGAAAAACGTCACAAAGGAACAAGCTAAGCTCAGCTGCTTACAGCTCGTTATTGTCTATGAAATGAACCTGTATGAGCTGCTGCAGTGTGCCTCTGAACAGCAGTATTGTACTGAATGCCACTGATCACTGTGGATAGCAGAATAAACTGAGATGTTTGACAGCAGAACCTGTTTCTGTGTCCAGGTGTTCCCTGGAGGCTCCACATCTGGCGGCAGTCTCTCCACAGAGCTCAGCAGCTGTGTCGGGACAAAGTCATCATCTCCCTCCTCACAGAGTTCCCCTCCATCAGGACAGAGGACTATGGCCCCGAGCTGCTCTCCACAGGCGTACCGCTCATGTTTAGCATGCTGGAGACCAGCAAGGTAACGGCTGAACGCCTGTTTCCATCCGTCCTGAAAAGCTGAATTTTGACTTTTACACCTTAAACCTACAACAGGGAGTTTAATCTGAAGTTTGGAGCTTTTGCTGAATTTCATGTAGAACTCGTACGAGCCACCGTATGGAAAAAGTAAGAGAAAGTTAAGATAAGAATATGATAACGAAATGAGGCGGTAGAAACACCACCACTTCTGTCCACAGTGGGCGCCAGAATCAACACAAAATGAAAGTTTCTCACAGGAGCTTCAATGATTGTTCACTAAAAACACAGTCATTGCTCTTTGCCTCCGTCCAGTGACTCAAACCACTGAAACGAGTCAAACACAAGTTTTTAGCCTAGCTTAGCAAAGACACTTAAATCAGGAAAAAAAACAGCTAGCAAAAGTAGCTAGCTAGCTAACAGTCACTGCTGATTGTTTAGGGCAAAATAACTTCCTTCAAACATCATCAGTTTCACTTTAACAATAAAGGAAATACACATTGTTCTGCACAGTTTATGCCTCAGAAATCCTTTTTCAGGTTTCTGTCCCCTCAGAGACTTTGAGAAGTTATTTAACACAACCTTCCTCCAGTCTGAGCTTCCTGTCTTCTTCCTCTGCAGGACTACGTGGTAACCAAGCGTCTGGCATCTGTGTTTGCTCACTGCTATGGCCGCTCTCCTGTCCCGCCCGTCCCTCCAATGGACGTCACTCTGTCCACACAGCTCGGTAACTCATCCGCCATCACGTGAACAGACTATTGATCAATGGGGTGAACATCAGAAGGATAACATAATTTCTCTGTCGTCAGATATTCACTTCCTGAACAACCAGGAGATGTCAGATGTGACGTTCGTGGTGGACGGGCGTCCGTTCTTCGCTCACCGGGTGCTGCTGATGTCGGCTTCTGAACGGTCTGATCTCTTCTCTGACTCATTAAATACTTAAATCTAAAACTAAACCTGTTTTAACTAGTCAGACTTTATTGTTACTTGTAAATATTTTCACGCTTAGATGAACACCTTGTTGCTGCTTTAACGTAACAAATAAATACCTTTAGAAATCTAATTATAAACTATGTACTTTATACAGAAACTGAGGGGAAACGTAAAGAAAATGTAGACAAAATAAATGTAGCTGGTATTCTAATTTTCAAAATAAAAGTCATGTTTGCTTGCGTCAGGCTTCGACGGATTCTCTGCGATTCCCCCGACGGCGTCATCCACATCAGTCACATGACCTACAGCACGTTCCAGGTAGGAGACACATTTACCTTACACCTGAGTGTGTTAATGTTAGTGTGTTAATGTTAGTGTATTAATGTTAGTGTGTTAATGTGAGTGTGTTAATGACGTGTTTCTATGTAGATGATGATGAAGTCTTTGTACTGTGGAGGAACTGAAGGACTGATTGTCTCACACTCTGATGCCTTGAAGGTAAAATCACTCATCTCTTCACCTGCTGTAGTTTCATCTCACTGGGTTTGTTTCTACATTGAAGATACATATTTGCAATAATTGTTAAACTCCAGTGTCTGGAATAAAATGCAGTAAGTTAAAATGGTGCCGATTGTTTTAAAAGATATACTCCTCTGTCCCGCTGCTACAAAAACAAAAATAATTTTAATCTGTTTCCCAAAAGTATGTTTTCATTCTTTTACCTGAACGGACATATTTCTGTGGACAGAATATATAACGATATATTTCTATGGTTGGGTATCGTCTGGGTTTTCACCGATACTGGTGCTAAAACGATACTTTTAAAATGGTGCCAGTGCCTAATTAAAAGGCAAATTTGAACTTTTACTTAACATATTAAAGCTACAAGCAGCGATGAACAGGCCATTGCAGTCCATGCACGTCGGGGTGTGCCAGTGTATCACGAGTACACCACACCGTGCAAACCTTCAGCTAATATTCATCAGTTGTTTGTCAGAGTTTGCTAGCTAGTTTATCTAGTTAGTTAGCAAGCCAGCTAATCTATGTCAATTTTAAACCAGATACGTTTATGTAATGTTAGCAAAACACAAGCCAACTAGTTAGCTAATTTACAGCAAATTACATTAATCTGCTTGGAAGAACTGATGTGTTTTTTAAAGTCCATTCTCAGTGGATCTCACTGTAGGAGTTGCATATTGGACCTGTAAGGGACTTTTTTCATTTCATTTTTTGTGTAATTGTGTGTAATTGTGTTGTGTTTTTTTGTAGCTGCTGCCAGTGGCAACTTTCTTCCAGCTCAGAGGTCTGCAGAGGTGCTGTGAGACCAAGCTGTCGCAAAGTCTGACTGTGGATTCTGTCGTCAACATCTACCAGGCTGCAAAGGTACAACAACACAGAGAGAGAGGGAACTAAAACAACACACAGAGAGAGGGAACTGAAAGAACACACAGAGAGAGGGGGAACTAAAACAACAAGGAGAGAAAGAGAGGGAACTAAAACAACACAGAGAGAGAACTAAAACAGAGAGAGAAGGAATTAAAACAACACAGAGAGAAGGAACTGACAGGACACAGAGAGAGAGGGAACTAAAACAACACAGAGAGTAAACTAAAACAACAGAGAGAGGGAACTAAAACAACACAGAGGGTTGTTGAGCTTTTCTAACTGCCGAAAAAAGAAAAAAAGTTACAATTGAGCGGTCTGTAGCTCATCATAGAGATTAAACTTGTTTATAAAAACTTTATTATGTTTTTTATCTGCAGCTTCATGGAGGAGCTGAACTCTGCAGATTTTGTGAAGGATTCTTCCTGCAGAACATGGATCGGCTCTTGGACCGGGAGGACTTCCACCGCCTGCTGCTGGGCGGTGTCGGTCAGGAGCTTCTCTGCCCAGACGTGGGCCCCCAGGACCAGGATTCACCGGGTCTCCTGAGGGTTTTGGAGGCCACATTAATACACAGACTTTACACCCTTCACTCTGCATGTCGAGAGTAGAAACAACCTGGACTGTGTATGTACACTGGTATGTGTGTTTGGGAAACGTAGCCATATACTGTGTTTGTTAGTCACGTTAAGATAGGAGATCAAACAGATGATGTTTGCTGTATTTATTAATCATGACACAAGCGGATATTTCTGCAACCGGGGAGAGGATCCAAATGTAGAAAATGCAGTTTTGATAATTCATCAAGTGAAATAAAAAATATACTTTTGTCATGTTGAGAATCTTCCTGTCACCATATATCATGTAAATGTTTGTAGACCAGACGTCCTGAAATATTCACGATAGTCCCAAATTATGAGCAGTTACAAACAGGGGAACAAAAAAAAGAGAAAAGGGGTTGTTTTTTAGTTTGTGGCACCATTTAGAAATGTTAGTCAGGAAACAGCTTATGCCCCAATTTTGTTTTTCTAATTTCAAAACACTACTACTACACAATACTGAAATGAGAGAACCCTTAAATTACATTAGTCTACATAAATTATTACAATTGTTTGTTTGAATTTGTGTTACTATTATGATCAAATGTCACTTATGTAAGGCTCTAATTTCTGCTTTTAGTTAAAAAATGTACTCATCTTTTATAAAACACAGCTTTCTAACTGTTAAAGTTTTGGATTCAATGTCAGACGCTGTGTGTCTGCACTGTAAATACAGAGTGGAGCTTTTACAGTCACTAGAAGCACATTCATGGCCGTTTGTAAAGGTTGGTTTTACTGATTGTTGTTTGTCAGTGTTTCCCTTGTGTCAGGACTTCTCTAAAGACAAGAAGAAAACTACCTCAGGACAAAATATTTAAACATAAGACTTATTAAAGCTCCTTCCTAAAATGTGTATTTATTGCATATCAGGTATGTATAACCAGTAAAGAGTCCCATTAAAGCTGCAGTAGTGCAATGGTTCTTTTCCATTTTGTGTTGCTTTTATTTCTTACTTACATTGCATTTCATTATTGTTTTGTTTTATTTTTTAAGTACAACCAGCAGGCTGTGCAAAACTTCCTGCTTCTCTCTGGTGCCTTGTATCACTCAGTTAAGCCCCTCCCACAAAACGAAACAACAGGAACACCTTCTCTCTGAATGACCTTTGATAGGTCGAAGTCTCTTGTCATAGGCTAGACCATAGACATATATACATAGAC